ACGAATCTGAGAAGTAGACCTAGGCTGTGGTTCAAGGAGGCTCTTGGAAATTGGCAGTCTTGTTCTAAGCTTTCTACTCATAAGAAGTTCTGCTGGGGATTCATTCATTACGGAACTCTAATAAAGCGAGGACTGCATCCTGTTTTGACTCATCAGCTTTCCTTAGTAACTGCTTAACGGTCTGTACGTCTCTTTCCACAAGACCATTTGATTTCGGGTAGTGTGGACTTGAGGTTACCACCTCTATCTCCCACTTACTGGCAAAGTCCTTAGATTTCACACGATTGAAAGGTATATTGTCTGCGATTAGCCTCTCAGGGATTCCATGACTTGCAAACTTATCTTTCACAGCCAAGATAACTGTTTCACTATTCTTACAGGAGAGGCGGGCTACCTCAGGATATTTGGATAAATAGTCAACTACAAGCAGGTAGTCTTTCCCTTTATAGTAGAAAATGTCTGCTGCAACTGTCGCCCAGGCTCTCTCAGGGACCTCTTGAGGAATCAACGGCTCCCTCTGGTTGCTTCGCTGGTGTTGCTGACAGGTACTACACTTGGATACCAACTCTTCGATCGCACAATTGATACCTGGCCAAAACACTGCACTTCTGGCTCGCGCTCTGCACTTCTCTATCCCCAAGTGAGCAGCGTGTATGCGTTGAAGTATTTCGAGTCGCAGGCTATTGGTAACAATTATGCGATCACCCTTGAACATTAACCCCTTGTGGCAGTTTATTTCATCTCGGTAGTTCCAATAAGGTCTTGTCTCAACTGGTGTCTCTACTTTAGTCTGCGGCCAACCACTCATGACAACTTTCTGCAACTGTTGAAGTTCAGGGTCACTCTCAGTTCCGTCCCCCAACTTGTGAAACATCGTCTCCGACAAATGTCCAGAGTCCAGGACATGAATTTCAAACTCATCTGTCTGGTCTGTACTGTTGTGGGGTAACTATGCTCTGGAGAGTGTATCAGCTAAGGGAAGTTTGCTGCCAGGTATATACTTAACCTTAACCGCTAAGGCTTAATCCTGAGAATCATCCTTTGAAGGCGAAGGGGTGCTTGATCTATGGCCTTTTTATCAGGATTGCTTCCAACGGTTTATGGTCGCTTTAAACCGTAATCTCCCGTTGTCCATATAAATGATCATGAAGCCGTTCACACCCAAAGACGATCGCCAGCATTTCCTTCTCCATCTGCGCATAATTTTCTTGGCTGGGAATCAGGGCTTTGGATGCGTAAGCAACTGGGCGGTCATTCTGCAGAAGGACTGTACCAACCTCTTTTAAGCTTGCATCAACAGACAGGGTCACTGGTTCTTTCGGGTCAAAGAACTTGAGGACTGGAGCTGATGAGATTGAAGTTTTCAGGCTTGTGAATGCAGCATCCTCTACTTGCTCCCAGGACCACTCGACATCTTTCTGGAGCAGCTGGCGAAGTGGGGCACTCTTCTGAGACATGTTTGGAATGAACTTAGATAAATACGTTAGCACACCCAGGAATCTCCGTAAGTCTTCACGATTGGCTGGGGTTGGCATAGCAATTATTGCTTCAACTTTATTCGGGTCTGGCTTAACACCATCTGCACTCAACACGTGGCCCACATAATGAACTTCGGATACTCGAAAATGGCATTTCTCCCTGTTAAGCTTGAGGTTACGCTCACGGCAGCGGTCCAACACCTGTCTAGGCCTCACTTCATGCTGCTCCACATCTTTTCCCCACACAACCAGATCATCCACAATTACCTCAACACCGTCAATGTCCTGAAACAAATGAGACATAACATTTTGGAACACTTCTGGAGCCGATGCTATCCCAAATGGCAAACGTGTATAACTATACCGGCCAAATGGGGTGTTAAAGGTAGCTAGCTTGTTACTGTCCGTGGCTAGTTTAACCTGCCAAAA